TTCTCTGAAAGTGGGCGCAGACCGAAGCGAGTGAGAGGCTTCGGCCAACGGAACCTGTCACCCCAAAAAGAAGATCGCACTGAATCTGGCTCTTGGGGTTAAAACAACAAGCGGGAGGAATCTTTGAGCGAACTGCATGTGAGGGGCAAAGAGAGGTAGTTCCCCTAGTGTCTGGCAGTCCAGAATGGCGGAAATTCGTTTTCCTTTACATGTATCTTTTCTGGAGAGAGGAAAAAAAGAAAAACAAAAAAGGCAACAGGCCCCAGCGAGATTTGAACTCGCGACCCCTGGTTTACAAGACCAGTGCTCTAACCCCTGAGCTATGGAGCCGAGCTCGAGTTCGGTCCTCGCGCACGAACTGTTGACACTGTCACAGTCGCCGCGCAATCGCAGATCATTGTATCATGGAGTTCTGTGATGAGAGGCGAGCTAAGGTCTTACAGCCGGTGCAGGCCGGATACAGCCGCCACTGCCTAGCTGGCCGGGGGGCAATCCTGAGAGAGAACTCCCTGGAAAAGAGGACCGGCGTTGCGTACCGGCAGGAGCTGTGAAGGATTGAGTGAGGACCCGGGGAGCTGTAGAAGGAGCCGTTGGGAGACCCAAGGCCCCGGCTGAATACCTCCGGTGGGCGGAGCAGTAGGGAGAGGCCGGGATTGCAGGCGAGATGGAAGTTGATCGCGCGAGGGAAGAATTGGGGAGAGAATCCACGGCTTGTTTAAGAGGATATGAGTCCAGAGTTTAGGGCTGTGGTCAGAGAATTAGGGAGATTGTCAATAGGCCTGTGCTGAGGGGAATCCAGGTCAGACCTGTGAAAGTGGGACCTGGGGTGGTCAGGAAGATGAAAGGGCAGTGGTGGGATCGGGAGGCAGAAAGAGAGAGTGATTGCGAGAATGAGAAGGTTGGGGTGTGAAGGGGTGCTAGGGCAGTACTGGGTCAGGCCCTGTGGCTCCTAGCCCTGCAGCACCTTTGGGAGAATTAGGAAAAGGTAACCTTTAGGACCCACCTTGAATTACAGGGAGCTGACTCTGTCAGGACTTCTAAAGGTCCCACAGTGGAGAGAGAGCGAGAACCAGGGTGAGGGGCAGGGGTCCCAGTTCCACAAAAGACAGAAAGTGGCTGCTGTAGGTCGTGGCCATTAGCCTGGTAGCATGTGGCCAGGCTGCCCTGTGGTCCTTGCAAAGCCAGGAGACTGAGGTCAATGGGCAGGCAGAAGCAGGCCCCTGGGTGTCCTCTACTCTGGATGCTAAGCCCTGTGAGGGTGGATTGCAAAAGCCTGGACTCTAGTGGCTCTTCTGGTTCACAGGGATCTGACCAAGGGGTGGGGTCAGAAGGACCCAAGTTAGGCCAGTCATAACATCAGAGATCCTGATCTTAGCAACGCCCAAAGGATGAGAGAAAAATGCATGCATGCATATTCACACACTGGCACTGTGACATGAACGGTCACTGTGCTGCCCTGGTGACCAAGGGAGAACATCTCTTCCCTTCCATATGCAGTTATTACTATAACTGTTGTTACATCTTTTCAGATAATACAGGTATCTATGTAGTTATTCAGCAAACACACATACTTTGATAGACCCACAATCACATTCACAAACACAAAAGCTGAAAATATGTGCTCAGATAGTCACCACCACAGTTCCCAGACCTGGTTCTATAGGTATACATGGCACCTCCACATACTCTTTGCCTGTACCAGACACACATATCTTCTGTGACCTGTAATATGGATTGCACTATTAGTACTCCTTAAAAGCAAGACTGGCCAGACTTCATCTCACATACTTTGGTAATGTCAGAAGGGACCAGTCCCTAGAGAAGGATACCATCCTTGGTAGAGGGTCAGCGAAAAAAGGGAATACTCTCAATGAGATGTATTGGCACTGTGGTGGCTGCAATGATGGGCTCAAGCATAGCAAAGATTGTGAGGATGGTACGGGACTAGACAGTGTTTTGTTCTGTTGTGCATAAGGTCACTATGAGTCAGAGCTGATCAACAGCACCTAACCACAACATTACTAATATATGATACTTTGGCATAATTGTTACATAATATTGCAGTGTAGTAAATCACTTAGTGTGGCTTTTCTACCCGTAAGTCTTTGTAAACTCCAAGGTGGGATTTTCTATGAGCAACTGAGGAGCTCCTGATTGCTGAAGCTATCCACCTGGGTTATTTCTGTTGGGCATGGCACAATACAATGTTCTGGGAGGTTCCCACTCTCTCCCAGGTGCTTAGAGTTCTGATGCTGTGATTGGCTAGTTTGACCACCCTTCCGGGCTCAAAAGGAGGCCTCCTGGAGGCAGAACTCTCTCTGACTGCTGGTGGAGGAAGACATGCTGCTGAGAGAGACACGGGCTCCTGAGACAAGTGCTGCTGGGAAAGAGATGAAAGAGATACGCATTGCTGAGTGAGACACCGAGGGACCAGCACTGCTGGGAAAGAGACTGTGAGAGACTATTGGCTGAGGAACGTGGGCTGGGAGAGAGACTGAGCATTTTTTTTTCCAGAACTTGAATTGTAGCCTGTGGTGCTTCCCTAATAAACCCCATAATCTGTAAGCTCTGTGTGGCCACTGCAGCGAATTATCGAACCCAGGAAAGAGGTGGTGGGTGCTTTGGGAGGAACGGTTGGCGAAAGGGCTGGAGGGAGGCAGCATGTCTGGCCTTGCAGTAATAGGCCTTACCCTATTGATGGTGATTCTGCCTTCCTCTTGTGGGGTTCTAGGAGGTCAGAACATGGGGCCTCCTTGCCGTTTTTGCAAATATAAAGGGTAATTGAGCTACTCAATTGGAAAGCCACATTAGAGGTCCAAACAGCTGTCTTTATCTCTAATGAACATCAGGTGGTGGTGTTGTTATGTGCCGTGGAGTCAGACCTGACTCACAGAGACCCCTCCTTGGGTTTCCAAGGTGGTATCACTACGGAAGTAGATTGCCCAACCTGCCTCCTGAGGAGGGGCTGGTAGGTTTGAACCACTATCCTGGTTAGCAGTCAAGTGCCTTAGACACTATGCTACCAGAGCTCCCAATGACCATCAGGTAGTTTAATTAAAAAATGAAAGCTGGAAATGGTTCCTTGTGGAAATTAGTGGTATTCAAATACATGGATCAACTACAATATTCTACAGCTATTTTCCCTGTATGAAAAGGGCATTCGATTTAATAGTGCCTTTCACCTCTCAGAAGGCGCTCTGGTAGCACAGTGCTGACGGCATCTGACTACTAACCAGAAGGCTGGTGGTTCAAACCCACCAGTCACTCTGCAGAAGCAAGACCGGGCAATCTACTTCAGTAAAGATTTACTGCCTTAGAAACTGGGCAATCTACTTCGGTAAAGATTTACTGCCTTGGAAACCCAATGAGTGTTGCTATGAGTCAGAATAGACTCAATGGCAGTGGGTTTGGTGTCACCCCTCACACACACACACGTACCTTTCAGAAGGAGCTCTGGTAGTGTAGTCCCTAAGGCATTTGACTGCTAACCAGAAGGTTGATGGTTCAAACCCACCAGCCACTTGGCAGAAAGAAGACTGGGCAATCTACTTCCATAAAGATCTACCGTCCAGTCAAATCAACGGCAGTGAGTTTGGTTTGGTCTTGGTTCACCTTTCAGAATGTGGTAGGCTAAACTCATAAATGGTCTTGTTCCCTGCCCCCCTTGGGGCACAGAGTTCTGATTGCCTAAACAAAAAAAACAAACTCACCACCACTGAGTCATTTCCAACTCATAGCAACCCCTCCAAGGTGGTATCTTCCCAATCTTCCTTCCAAGGAGTGGCTGGTGGATTTGAACCGCCAGCTGTCAAATGCTTCAGGCACTATGCCACCAGAGCTCCCCCTGATTACCTGGTGCAGTATAAACCTACATGCACAGAGTCACACACATAAACATACGTACTCAATCAGGCAAGTGGAAACTCTTGCCCACACTTATTTTTTTGCACCCAAGCCAGGAGACAGGGGAAAATGAATCAAGTGACCCTAGAGATGAGCTCAAAGTCTGTATTTCCATCTCCCCATCTTATTACTGAGAAGCACTAAGCAGGAAATTACCACCACCCTCTCAGAAGCCCAGCCATCAGAAGCTGGGGAACAGTTTGCCAGGGGATAATGAGGCTGGTCAGCTGAAGGACCACGATGGCACAGGCTAAGCAAAATGGTGCAGCCAGCTGCATTGGCAGCAGGGTCCTCTGCTGGTAACATACATTTGGCAAGTTCTGGAAAAGGTGTGTCAGGGCAGGTTTGTCCTCAGTGCATCTCTATGCCAGTGCTAGTTGAATCCGTAAAATTATAAATGCCAACTTTCACTTCAAACTTTCAGAATCTTTGATCTCCTTACCCAAAGGAGCCTGTGCTTTGACACTTGAAGATGGGAGTTGTTATCTGTGAGAATACATGTTGGCTTTTATTGTGGTCAAGGATGTATTACATGGCTCTGTATTATTTGACTAAGAGGTGTTTGATGCCTATATGTTGTTGTCCTGAGATTTCTCATATGGCCTTTTCCTCACATACAAGTCAAGGGTCTCCTTCTAGTTCTGGCCCAGACTGTCCTCTGAGCTGGGAGTACAGTGTTCCTTGACTGAAGAGAAACCTCCTCAGGCCAACTGGATATAAATAGGTTTCATGCCCTCTGAAGGTAGAGTTGGCAGATGACAAAAAGCAAAACAGAAGTATAATTAGTTTGCTGGTCCCCTTGCAAAGTGAGGACAGCATAGGACCAGAGCTTGATATTCCACAAACCAGATGGCCCAGTAACCCCCACATGTAGGAGGTACCCCTATCCTCATCTGCCACTGTGTCCTTGGGCTCAAGGGAAAGGCCCTCAGGGTACAAGGCATGCATCTCTTGCCCTGCTCAATTGACCACAGAGCCCTTGTCCTTATTCTCCCACTTTCATCCCTCCAAGGTTGTATTCTGCAGAAGCCCCTCTGGGACAGGGTGTGAAGGAGTCTAGATCTAAGAGTTCATCCATGACTGGCTTGGGGGGCTGGGCAATGCACCTCAAGGCCAGATTCGTAAGTAAGTGCCAGTGGAGCAGACAGAAAAAAGGGGGAACACACGTTCCTGAAAGTTGACTCGGAAGGTGTAGAGGTGGCGCATGTCCTCTGCGGCATAGAAGGACACGGCCCCCACCTCCAGGTCCAAGGCCACCCTCACTCGGGACAGGTGCCCACAGCTGAGGGGTGTCCGTTCAGGGCTGGTCACGGCCCAGTACTGCCCGCTGTTGAGTTGCAGCGCCCAGATGCCCTCCTCAGGTGTGAAAGGTGTAAGGCCTTTGCGGCGCACACTTTCGCGGGCCACGCCTAAGGCCCACCCCTCCTTGGAGCCCACTTCCACCTCCCAGTGGTGGCGGCCAGAAGAAAAGCCACAGGATGCCAGCACCCGATTGTTGGTATCAAAGCGCCGTGGGTTATCAGGTAGGTCCTTGGTCCGCTGTCCAAGGCGCACACTCTTAAGATCCAAAGAGAGGATGAGACAGGGGTTGGCAGTGTCAGGGTCCAAGGTCAGCTCCACTGCAGGGCAGAGACACAGTAAGAAATGTTACCATGTAGGCCCCTTGCATAGCCCCCTTCTCCTGAGCGATGTTCCCCTCTGTTCTTTGCAACCCAACTCCCCTTCTAGGAATCCTTCTGGCATCTAGGGCCCAATTAATCCTCTACCCTCTGCCTCCCAGGTATAGTTAACTTTTTATTTTCTCTTTTTACTTAACAAGTACTAATTGAAACTAGACAAATATAATATACGGAGCTGATTTTGATCCCAATTCAAACAGACCAACAAATGCAATGTAAAAAATAATTGAGGAAATTTGAACACTAGATATTTGAAAGAATCAATTTTTCTGGGTATGATGATGGTTTTGTGGTTACATTTAAAAAAAGAGAAGACTCTCTATATAGATAACACTGACATGTTTATGGACGTAATAAGTTATCTGTGATTTGCTTAAAAATAATCCAGTGGGAAGAAGTAGGTGGGGTGTACATGAAAAATATTAGCCATGAATTGATGACTGTTAAAGGTAAGTGGTAGTTATGGGCAGTTTGTTATGCTTATCTCTCTAATTTTTTTGTATGTTTGAAAATTTCCATAATAAAAAGTTAAAATGTGTACACTTGTTTTGAGCACTTCTATACTCCAGGCACTGGAACTACCACTGAGAATAAGACAGTCAAGAGTAAAATAAGTCAATCATAGAAGGACAAATATAAAATAACAATTATAAAAAGTCAAGGAAAGGTTTACACACAGAAGGAGATTTTCTTTGTTGGTTACCAGGGATGGGAGGGGAGGGGACAGAAAATTGCTAGCTTATGTGTCTTATGAGACATGAATTAATTTGAGTGAAGAGAAAGGCAATATACCAAAAGCAGGTGACCACCACAATATCACTAAGGAAAAGATGACATGGAGAGGTGTGTAAGAGGTATAGAACACAAAGGTAAATGCTATTACATACGTAGTACTGCATTCAGTAATAAACATTAATCTACAGTGGATACATAAGTAGACAGGCAATATGATCAGGTATGGGTAAGTGAACGGGACTACATCCATGACCATATATAAGTTTTGTAGATATTTCTATATACATACTTGTATGTGCTATAAAAAATGTCCATATACATAATAAAACAAACAGGGGGCAAAGTTATGATAACTTATTAGCCACAACCAAAAACCTCTAGTGGACCATGGGAACCTCAGCCTACATGACCCTGAGACCTGAGAACAAGATGTTGCCTGGCTACCGCTGCCAACCACTTGGAAAGGTACCAAAATTGGAAATCCTGGATAGAGTGGGAGGAAAATGTGGGACAAAACTCAAAAACATAAAAAAGAAGGCTTACTGGTCTGATAAAGACCGGTGAAACCCTGGAGACTATGGCCCCTAGTCACCCTTCAGGTCTGGAATTGAACTCACTCCCATGGCTTAACCTTCAGCCAAACAATAGACAGACCTGGATGGTGGGACTCTGGTGGGGTAGTCATTAACATGTTTGGCTATTAACCAAATAGGCCACAAGCTGCCACAGAGGAAAGATGAGGCAGTCTGCTTCTGTAGAGATTTACAGCCTTAGAAAGTCCTATGAGACAGTTCTAGTTTGTCTTATAGTATCATTGTGAATTGGAACCAAGCCAATGGCAATAGGTTTATTATTATTATTATTATTAGTTTATGAGGTAGACAGTTACACCAAGGAGGTGAACTCCTTAGAACAAGCAACCATGGGAGATCAGAAGGGCATCATTTGTGCAGTGAGAAAGCTCAGAAGGCAGGAATGCATAGGAAAGAAGGGCACAGGAAAAGATAACCACAGGGAGGAAGTGAGAAAAGAGCTGTTAGATTGTGGGGATTGCAATCAGTATCATGAAACAAAATGGTATTAACTGTTGAATGGAAAATGAATTTGCTCTTAAACTTTCACCGAAATCACAATAAGTTAAAAAAATAAAAAAGCAAGACAGCCAAGTATCCCTGCTCTCCTGTAACTTTCTTTCTAGCAGGGGGAGAGACAATAAATGATAAGCACAGAAAGTAAGAGGGATCAGGAGATGCCTTAAGCTGGATTCTCTAGAGAAGCAAAAGAGTGAAGCTTATATATAGAAAGAGAAATTTATCTCAAGATATGGCTCATGCAGTTGTAAAGGGAGGCAAACCCCAAGTCTGTGGGTCAGATGTCAAGCTTGGAGTCTTCTGATTCATCAGCTTCAAAGGCTGATGAATTCAAGATCAGCCAGGCTGCTGGTTTCAGAGGCTGACAAATCCAACAGGTAAAATGGCAGATTGTTGGCTTACAGGCTGTGAAGGCAACAGTCCCAAGGTCAGCAGGCTACCTGTTCAAGTTCAGGAACCGGAGATGATGATGAGCCAGATGCAGGATCCAGAAAGAGCAAAAAGCCAGAGACCTTTCAAAGCTTTTCCATATATACTGGAAGCAGGCCACACCCTAAATAAAACTCCCTTTTAACTGACTGACTGCTCAGTGTAGATCTCATCATAGAGATGATTACATTATATTAGATCTCATCATGGGAAATAACTATATTATAACTGCTAAACCACTTAGAATCATGGTCCAGCCAAGTTGACACACAACCTTAACTATCGTAGTCCACCCCTTGTCAGCTTTGGCACCTAAAACCACACATAAAAACCATATCTAAAAATTTTAAAACCACATCTCTTAAAACCACACATAATTTCTAAATAAAGACAATTATAAAGCCATACTTGCACCTAACATGATATAACCCACATACAATTGAAGACACATTAACCCTGTTTACATCTTATATTTCATAACTGAAGAAAACAAAAATATTTGATGAATACATACAAGGAAGGAATACTCATAACAATCATAGTCCTCATTTCTGCAACTGGCCACGTGGTCATAGCAAGTAAACTACCTTTTTCTACCACCCATTATGTACACCTTTTACCCTCAGCAAGCACCTCAGCCTGTGCTTTCTTTGCCTTGTGGAGTGACCCAAACCTTCATTCCTGAAGGGTCTGGGCCATTAGTAGTCATATCAGAATTGGGCTGCTTTCCATTGTAGTTTTCCATTGACTTGAATCACAGGGCATGGTAATACTAAGAGACATCCTAAGGAGTCTCCTGTATTCTAGACATACTCTTCATTATCTCCATTATGTATATCAATCTGATTTCTCCTTGGTAATCAGGATCAATCACACCAGACAATACAGTACCCCCCTTCTTTGCCTGTTGATCCAGAGGCATGAGGAGTCCAAAATGGCCAGGTGGCATTCTTAACTTCCAGTTCAGTGCAATCAGTATTGTATCTCCAGGTGGGAGTGCTCCTCCCTTTGGGACTAAGATCTCCAGATGAGCTGAGCATAGGGTCACAGAGACAGGAAGGAAAAATGTTTGAGTGGGTCATTAGGGATAATAGTGAGAGGTACCACTCTCACTTCTACCCCTTGGTTCCTGGACCCGTTAATCCTGGCTTTTGGAGAAATCCATATAATGGATCCTGATTTAGAGAACATACAGCCTCCTGGAGAACATTGCCCCAACCCTGAAAGGTACACCTAACTGGCATTTACTGTGAAGTCAGTCCCCTGTTCCAAGACAATGCTGTGTGGGATACTGCAAAAACGGCAAGGAGGCCACATGTTCTGACCTCCTCTAATCTCACAATTGGAAGACAGGATTACCAGCAGTAACCCAAGGCCTATTACTGCAAGGCCAAACATGCTGCCTCCCTCCAGCCCTTTTACCAACCGTTCCTCCCAAAGCACCCACCACCTCTCTCCTGGGTT